TTTATGGTCTCTTTAGGGTATATTCCCAGTAGTGGAATTGCTGGGTCAAATGGTATCTCTATTTGCAACTTTTTGAGAAAGCACCACACCGCTTTCCACACTGGTTGCACCATTTTACACTCCCACCAACAGTGAATAAGGGTTCCAGTCTCTCCAGAAAGACTGGGACACTTGTATAACTTTCATCATTACTCCAAGTTTATAGGGTTTACAGAGGCAAGCTATTTCAGAGTTGGATCCCACTCCTGCTTCCAAGCTTGTTTTAATCGGGGAGCTCCACCAAACACTGACCATCATGGGTAACCATTATCGCATTTGACACATCAGTGTCACAGTGTTTAGCATCACAGCAACCACAAATTACCTCTCTGCATCAATGCACAGACCAGTCCTATACCACTTAGAAGAATGTTTGACAAAAACCAATTTAAACAAGGCCTGAGGGCCCCAGATTAAAATCACCCACCTTGGGCTTGGTAGCATAACTTTCTGTCCACTAGGCTAACGTAGCTCTCTCTGTGTTGTTGTTGTTATTGTTGTTAAGTGCCTTCGAGTTGTAGATGACTCATAGCGACCCTATGAATGAAAGACCTGAGCACTGTTTGTAGAGTTTGCAGAGGCAAACCATTTCGGAAGTGGATGCCACTCCTGTTTCCAAGCTTGTTTTAGTTGGGAAGCTCCACCAAACCCTGTCCATACTGGGTAACCATTATCACATTTGGCACATCGGTGTCACAGTGTTTAGCATCACAACAACCACAAGTTACCTCTTTTCAGCAATGCACAGACCAGTGCTCTATCACTTAGAAGAATGTTTGACAAAAAACCCCCCAGTTAAAAACAGGCCCTCAGGCCCTAATGCGTTTTTCAATAGGAAGCATTATCATATCTCGGTTCCCTTAGCCAGTCAACATTCCACCCTACCACTCACCAAATCCCAGCCAACAGCTTCTATAGAACCAGCTCCTGTAGATGACTTTCAAATCGGTCTCCAGCGCCATGCTGCCCACCAAAACCGGTTACAAAATATTATCTTACTTTTCTTTAAGATCGGAAAAAAAGCATTTGTTTGCATGTAAGAATACACACACACACACACACACACATAATTTCTAAGTGGTTAACTCAAGGTAAATTTAATTTCTCTTTTGTACTTTCTGTTGTTTTATTTTTTATATTAAGTATTTATTGCTTTTATAATCAGAAAAATAAGAAGGAACTTCCTTTTTTAAAAAAAGATTGTATTGATAAGTTGGTTGGCGATAAAAACTATACTCCTCTCATTATCTCAGATTTTCATGTCTCCTGTGTCTATGAATTCTATTCACGAGATGGGAACATGGCTACCCCAAGCTCTAGACTAGATAACTTTCCCCAAAATTAATTCCATCAGATGGAGAGTCTTACTTATTGGATCCAGCAAAGAGTCGTAGGGCTGAATGACTAGCTTGATGTGGGTCAAGAGCCAACACTATGCTGAGGAAAGGGACAGAGGTGTAGGAGGCGTAGGTTAGGAGATGAGATTCTCTGTTCAGATAGATCTTAGTCACTTGTCATTTCTTGTGAGAAAGGGAGGAAGTCCATGTTGAGTTGGTTCCAAGATAGAAGTGGAGTTTTATAATTTGAAGAGTGAAGAAAGGGATGCCAGGCAAATTCAGACATCAGTATCTGTGGCAGTATTTTTTCTTCTTCTTAAAATTGGTTTGCTTACAAAGTTCATATATGTTATATTTCACACTATTCTTTATTCACATTGTGTTTCATATAGTCATTCTCATGCATTATGTTTTATAAAATTAATCACCATTGGATGTTGCCCATCATTATCCTTCTTTTCACCTAAATCCATCGCATTTCATTCCTTACCCAACTCCCCTCCAAACTGTGCAGCCCTATGGTTTTACCCTTACCCATCCTCAGCTCTCCCTTGAGTTCCCGTATGAGTTTTACTGGTTATCCTTCTATTTTTACAATAATGATCTTATGCAGTATTTGTCCTTACGAGACTGTGTTATTCACTGAGCATAATGCATTATGTAGTAATTTTCAAAATTGTTGCTCCTGTGTGCTGCATAGTATTCCATTGTGTGAATATACCACAATTTCTCAATCCATTTGGTTGTGGTTGGACATTTGGGCTATTTCCGTGCTTTTGTGATGGTTAATAACATTGCTATGAACATTAATGTACAGACTTCTGTTTGTGTCTCACTTCTAATTTCTTTGGGGTATATTCCCAGTAGTGGAATAGCTAAGTCATACAGGGTTTCTTTGTTAATCTTTTTGAGGAAACGCCAAACTGCTTTCCAGCATAGTTGTACCATTTTACAAACCCACCAACAGTTTATGAGAGTTTCCACCTCTCCACATCCTCTCCAGCGTTTATTTCCTGATACCCTACTGAACTTTGCCACTGCTACTAGGGTGAGATGGTATCTCTTTGTGGTTTTGATTTGCATCTCTCTTGTTGCCAGTGATTTTAAGCATGTCTTCATGTGTCTGTTGGCCACTTGAGTGTCTTTCTCTGTGAAAAGTCTAGACTCTTATCATCTTCATAATCATCATCATCATCAAGTATGCCAGTGTTAAAGGGCTTCACATGGGGTTTGTAAATAAATTCATGAAGTGTTTCTTATTTTTCAGAGAGTTCTTTATCTTACTTAGTGGTAAGGAGTTGTGCTGCCAATCTGATGGCACACAGTTTAAATCTGCCAGTTGCACTGTGGAAGAAAGCTCTTCTTCCATGGGATTTATTGCCTCTGAAAACTTGCTGGAGGGTCAGCTATGGGTTGGTTCCCACTTGATGGCCCGTAACAATGATTCAATATTTAAACCATAATAATTTATTAAAAAAATCCACCAAATGCGTTCTTAGCACCCAATAACCAAGTCTTACTGGGGTGAGCAATGAACAAAACATTCCTACCCTCCTAAAGAAGATGGCACAGGATACAAACAGACACTTCACCAAAGAAGACATTCAGATGGCCAAAAAGCACATGAAGAAATGTTCAAAATCCCTAGCTCTAAGAGAGATGCAAATCAAAACAACCATGAGATATTATCTCACCCCAGTAAGAATAGCAAAATTTAACAAAACAGCAAACATCAAATACTGGCGAGGTTGTGGAGAAACTGGAACCCTTATTCACTGTTGGTGGGAGTATAAAATGGTACAAACACTAAGGAAGGCAGTATGGCGCTTTCTTAAAAAGTTGCAACTAGTGCTCGCTTCGGCAGCACATATACTAAAATTGGAACGATGCAGAGAAGATTAGCATGGCCCCTCCGCAAGGATGACACGCAAATTTGTGAAGCGTTCCATTTAAAAAAAAAAGTTGCAACTAGAAATACCATTTGACCCAGCAGTTCCTCTACTGGGAAAATATCCTAAAGAAAGCATAACTGCCACTCAAGCAGATACATGCACACCCATGTTTATTGCGGCTTTGTTTGCAAGAGGAAAGAGTTGGAAACAACTTAAGTGCCCATCAACAAACGAATGGATAGAGAAGCTCTGGTATATTCATGCAATGGAATACTATGCTGCATTGAAAAACAAGAAACTCATGAAATATTATACAAAATGGGTGATTCTGGAGGACATTATGCCGAGTGAAATATCTATCACAAAAGGATAATTATTGCATAGTGTCAGTGTTGTAAAACAGGACTGACATCAGGGTTGAGGGAAGACAGAGAAGGAGGGAAGGAATTATGTATACTGCATTGAAACAGATGAGGGAGAGAACTGTTCAAAAGATATATGATAAGGTATTATTGTCATGACAGGAGTCCAGAATGGAGGCTGCACAGTGGAGTGGACTTGCGGGGAGGTATTGTATAACAATGAAGGAATTTTTCTTCTACTTTTCAAAGAGAAGAGTGAATTGGGGGGGAAAGGGGATAGGCAGGGAGAAAAGTGCAACAATGAATGAATGGAAACCCTAAGTCTCTGTAAACTTTCATTAAAATTAATTAAAAAGAAGAGTTATGGATAAATGAGAAGAACTTTTGTGCCTTCATATTAATGAGGAACTGCATATCTAAATTCACCCCAAATGTTTTGTATCATCCTTGAATTTTAAACTTTGATGACTTCACAGTTTTGCAGGGAAAACCACTCTTTTTTTATTTTTATTTTTTTTTGGGAAAACCACTCTTATATTGCATGTTTCATTTCAAGCAAAAGAAGCCACTTGGTTTTTTGCTCCTTTGATTTTCTTCACTTTGTTTTGGACAGAGAGGGACTAACAGTTGCACATTTGAAGAGTGCTTGCAACCTTTTAAGACCTCAGTAGCTAGCTCCTCATCAACATAGGATGTAAAGCATTATTTGTGGACTACGTTAGAGCAGACTTTGTGAAAATAGGCCAATAGGGCAAAATACATAAATCAGAACCAGATACTAATTTTGTGTCTTGCTACTTTGTATCCCTGATATAGCCATTATCTAACCTGGGGTTTAGAAAGCATTGGGAGGAGAAAGTAAAGCAAGTTTTGACAAATACAGCTCTATGCATCATATTTTTAGCCTTCAAGAACACAAAGCAAAGCAAACTCATTGTTTTTGAGTCTGTTCTGACTCAGTGGCCCCATAAGACAGAGTAAGATCACCTAACCAGGTTTCTAAGATTGCCATCATTACAGA